ACCCTTACATACTTACTATTACACAGGGCTCACTAACAATGGATTTTGCGTAAAAAACGTTTGTTCTTCGATTTTTCGTCAGTATCACAATTTTTGGGTCTATACTATTCTTATTTTTACTTAGGTATTACGATTGAAGGATTGAAGAATTATTTTAGACTATCTTGAATATCTGAAGCCGATTGCTTTTTGTTTATTTTGGTAAAGGCATTTCCCAGAAATGTACGTATCTGATTCCTTTTGAAACCTGTAAATAGCGTAGGTTATCTGTACTTTGTATTTACTTTTGTTTGTTGGCTACCTATACAGCTACAATTGTGCTTTTAGTTTTACTGGAACCAATAAATTTGGAGTGTCCCAAGAGGAGATCATTGGAGTTTGTGAAAATTCTATGTACTCTTGTGCATCTTTAGATCACTCCGTTTTTCTTTGAGACATTTAGCGATTTGCTGTTTGATGCATATGAGTCGCTTATCTTGAGTCAATGGAATACCTTGACTGGATTTCATTATTGTAGAAAAAGTTTTAGATTAGATAAAAGTTGTATGCTTTCGAATGTGAAATCAAATGGCAAAATTGAATCTTCTAGGTCATTTACAGGTTACGTTTGTTTTCCTAACCTTAACAATGGAAAGTGTGGAAAACTTTGTAATCGAAAATACCCTTGAAGTTAATTTTCTCTAAACTTTTCAATCCGTATTTATAAGAAATTAAGAATCATATGTCGGAAGCATCTTAATTGAACGCAGTATTTCGGAAAAAGTGTTTTTACAATAAGATAAAATTTGTATTTTCAAAAATACAATCAACAGGTGATCTTAACTGTGACGTGAACCTTGATCAAGTCAATTTTGTAAATGGGAACTTTTGTCAAACTATTTCCAAAATATTTTATTGCTCTTATTTTTCATTTAAAAACGGACCTAAAAGTTAAGAGTTAATCAACTTTAATGATATTTCCGACCATAAAATATTCAACTTTTTCATTGCTGGGGGGTAAACTTATGCATTCCTATTTTAAAAAAATTTCAGTCAAGGTCTCAAGTTGATTTCTCCTTTGAAAGCATATATAACATTTCTCTGAAACTTTTTTCAAAATAATGGTATCTATAATGATAGTATTCAATTGTCTCAAGAAAATTGACTCACCTTAAAAAGACTTTTATTTGTCGTATGTAGCTTTTTCTATTTGATCCATCAGTTCCTTTTTGTATATTTACTGGAAAACTACCTATTATTTACGTTTGCAAAAAAAAAACAAAGAATAAATTCAGGCAAAGTAACTATTTGTTATTAGGTTTTGCAACCAATATAAGAATACAGATATATAGCTTTTGCCAATCCAAAAAATAATGTTTGAAAGAAGTTATCGAAAACTTCTTTATACGTAAATGTATTTTGTTTACTATTTGTTAACAAACCCGCCTCAGATACGTAAACTGGATTTGCAGGAACCAGTTTTTTCACATATAGTGGAGGAAATATTTACAAGGGTATCCCATTACTTTTTTCTTTATTCGATATCTGCTACATACCTAAAATTTATAATATATGTTGAAGCTGCTAATTTGCATTTTCAATCGAAAAACTTGTTTGCTTCGGTTTTTTAGTTGTTTATCGGTGCATGGTGGAAATCCATGAAACATTTTTATTGCCTATAACATATCTTGTAGTATTTCATATCAATAAAATGCTGGAACTAGGAAATTTCCACTTCAAGAATGTAACAATTTTATTAGTCATTGCAGTGCTAAACGAAACAAGAAAAGAACTTTCAATCGATTTCTACTGTTTAATTTTTAAGTGTTTAAAAGGTCAGATATATAATTCATGTAATTAAAGAACTTCAAAAAAAGATTAATTTACCTAAACACCGGCGTAATGAGCTCTATAAGTTAAATAGAGTTGTGCATGTTTCAAAATTTCTGCATAACTGGAACAGAGAATCCGATACAAAGAAAAGCACTCTAACATTCTAAACTTTATGTAAATGAAAAAGTTGTTTTACGATTAGTTGGCCAATTTGATGACGAGGATTGATCGGTTCATTAGCATGTTAATATTATATAGTTTGTAAAAATGAAATTTTATAGAGTGGAATGTGGGTTGACGCCTGTGCGTAAGCATGTGGGTACCACCATTTAAAATAATCATGTAGGCCGATTTAATGAGTACTTTAACTAATATAAACATATTAAACAATTTTTATGAATATAACAAGCCGGTGATACCCCTTTAAGAATCCTCGGAGACTAGTTATTATTACATAATTTTTCAGGGTATCAGTAAAACTACCGATCGTATGTTAGGAAAGTTACGAATTCGCTGATTAAGGAATAGAAATGTCACTGTTGAAAGTAGCTGAATCATAAAGTTGCAAATTAACTAATTGATAAAGTTATTCTAGTAAATTTACAGATTAATAGCAGCCAAACTTTGGTACATATCCTTTACTGTTGCTATTACAGCGTTGTCGGTAAAAATAATTTATTGAAACTACTAGATAGATCTCTTTTTCGTCTATTTTATTTATATAACGTCTTAAGTGTTACTAGCGAATAGACAAATTATATTATTTTCCGAATAAAAACTTTAACGTTCCTTAATTAATAAAACAGGCAATATTTCTTATATATTCACAAGAATATTGTTTTAAAATCAAAGTTAAATTTCTGTCATAGTTTCAATTTAATTCAATTTCAATTCAAATACTTTCATTTTTATTTAATATGTCTGTTTTCACTACTTTGGTCATTATAATCATCATCATCCACTCATTCCTGTCTTGAGCTAATCTTCGCATTTCATTCTTAAAACTAGAGCATCCCACATCCTTAACTGTTTAAGTTCAGTAATCTAATCTACGTCCACCTCTGCTCCTCTTTTCCCTTTTTGCTTCTAATACGTCTTCAAATAGTCCTTCATGCCTGAAAAGGTGTCCTACCAATCTATCTCTCCTATTATTCTTTAATGCCTCCTTATTTCTGACTTCTCTATCCACGGTATCATCATCCGCTTGTAACTCCACATTTAGAACGCTTCTAACCTTTTTTTCTCTACAGCGTTTCTCACCCGTTAGACATATACACCTTTATCAACCTCATTATTATTAACCGTTCGCGAACATAGTGACTTATTTTTGTTCCTGAATTATATGACTTCCTAGATACCGAAAATCAGCGGTCATTATAAAATAAACCATAATAAATCTCGCGGGCCGGAAAAACGTTTAAAGCGGATCGCAACAGTGGCGTAGCGTCAATTTCTGTCACCCGGGGTGAACCGTAAATTTGCCGCCCTTCCTATTTTTTCCTATCTTTTATTTAAATTTGTCAGAATTGCAGTGAAAAGATGTACAAACAAGATGTATTTTTAATTTAGCCCTTGAGGAGATAAATAGCATTTATTATTAGTGAAAATTGAAAATGTATGAGCTTATTTACAAGTAGGTTTTCCTACATACATAATAAATATATACGTCGGGTACTATTTATATTTAATTGAAATCGGAAACTTTCACGATCAGTACAATAGCAAATAAGAGTGCGATCAGTGTACCCAATACAAAATAATCAATAAATATATTTCAATAAATCTACGATTTTTATTTCATCAATTGCTTGTCTAAAAAAACCTTATACGATCGCTGCTTGGGCATAAGTCGAGTCGCTTATGTGGAAAAAAAGTTTGTGCTCTTTTCCATATAACACAAGATTTGTAAATTTCAACAAAATGGTTGATTTCAATTCAAAATGTGTTCATTTACATAGGAACAAACATAAAATTAAGCATGTGCATTTGAAAAGGTTTTGCTTTTCGTTTACATACATAATTCAGAATAGCAGGAGGATTTTGAGGATTCTTCTCACGATGTAAAGATTTTGGTTCCTCAAATAGATTATATTGGATCTTCAGTATCTTTATTGTCGTATTCTTTCCATACCTTTGCATTAAGTCTTAATAACTCAGGATTCTGCATCATTTTGCTGATGACATTTATGAAATTTAGCATAACATTATGTAGTGCTAAATGTAAATAGAATCTAAAGTGTTTTGTTTATATTACACATTATAGGCTAAATCTACAGTACACCATATTTCTGCTTTTTGGTATGTTTTCCCGCGTATGTTACGATTTCAGCTTTTATAATCGTAGGTATTCTACATTTTTGTGCTATGGGAGCTTGGGCTATAATAACAGCTTTGCCCTTATCATAAAGTGAACTGTTAGACTGACCATTCGTGTTTCAAGTTTTGTTATATTGACTATAAAAATTTGCCGTTTTTACGGTTACATACAAGGCAATAGCTTTTCCCAGATTTTTATCAAAACATAAATCTTAGTATTTTTGTCAACCAAGACGGTAATGGCACAAATTATTAATAACTGCTACAAATACAAAAAAATTGAAATACCTATACATTATACACATAAAGTAACTTGGTTTTAATTGAATTTAAAAAATACTTAATAGGCATTTACTTACATCGAATGTTTTGGGCGTTGAATAAAATTTTGGTTTAGTTGAATTAGAATACTTAATTGATTAGTTTGGTTGAATTGGAATACTCTCTCTTAACTTTGTTGTCCAGGACTTAAATAATCTGCACACAAATAGGAAACGCCCCTAAGATAAAACGGACCCCTTGGTCAACGCTTTGGTTGTTGCCATGCACCCTTCAGATACCCACAGAAAGCCCGACGTGACGTAGTTGGCCAATTGGATTTTCCCAACGTTTACTACCTACCAGAAGAGTGTAATAAAGAGGCCCCAAAGTTGTTTGTAAGCACTATTTGATGCTAAATATTTGCAACAGACAACATAACATACAGATATATACGAAAAATAAATACAAACTAAAACCACAATAAGAAATAAACAAATATACAAACACCGAACACGTTCTTAAAAATAATAATACATTTATTAAACAGCAGAAGTTATCTTTAGTTTTAATGTACATCGATGAAATATGTTTCAAACACTTTTCTCGGATGTATCCTGATTAGACTTGTGTGCAATTCTCCATGCACTTCTGCAAATAAAAGGAAAAGGTTCAACTGGTTCGTTTAAACAACAAATGGTTGCATGTAGGTAAATGGTGAGGTTGGTGTTCAATGTCCACCTTTGTCCATGCAACGAGTGCTTATGTAGTGGCGATATGACCTATCCGGTGTCATTGAGGACGACAAGTAGAAGACTGGCAGGTTACCCCGGCCCCTTCGGAGACTACAACGCTGGCACAAGTGGCACACGGTGGCAGCAGCCAGTCCGTGTTCGACGTGCCGAGCAGGTGATACGAAGAAGTGGAGTTGCTTATACAGTTATTATATCCGTCGGTTGGTTACTGTTCTTACTATTACTATTACCATTATTATTCGAGTACTGCTTAAACGGTGTCTGGCCTTTTTTTTGCGTACGTAGGTACCTGGTGACATGTGGCTTGCGGAGCCCGATAGCCGCGCTGTGTAAGCAGGCCGTTCGTGTTCGGTAGTTTTGCTCGGTGACGGTGGAATTCACGGAAGTTGACTGTCTAGAAAGAGACGGACACTACGACAGTGAAGATAACCTTCGACGGATTTTGGACCACGACCTTCCTACACTAGTGACGGTAAGAACCATTGACGAGGGTTTCAAAAGGGATTGGCCTGCGCATGCCAAAGGGACCTTTCTCTTTTTAAAACAAAAAAACTAGTGCGTTCATTCTACCTTGGAGGCCGACGAAAGTTATTACAAAAAGAATATAACGTTTCGTTTTTTTACCACCATTAGCAAATTTTGATACGTTTATGAAACAGTTTAAAATTATCTACCTCCTTATAGCGCTGATATCCGGGATAATTGAATTTGTCGGTATCCTATTATGGTGATGCTTCTTCAAACTTGTTTGAACTTTACACTTCTTGAGGAAACCTGGATAAAGCTATTAGGAATTTGTGTGCATCTACATGAGTTTTTATTAAAAATCAAGAGAATTTTTCAATACATCCATGTAAGACTTCCTTTAGGTCCCGCAAAATCGCTGGTCAATCATACAACTCAAGACGGTAGCTATATGTAACTTTCTGTATATTATGAATGAAGTATGAACTTTTTTACAACGTTGTCTCTCCAGTTACATTAAAAAAATATTATTTAACAAATCTCTTTTACATTATTTATAAGGAAAATAAAAGAAAATTATGCGTATAGTTTGGAACAAATGAGTGCACTGTTCAAAATGTGTAGTGGGTTTCAATAAATAAAAGTGGAATCATTAGAACTATCTTCAGATACTTACTAAATTATATTCATGTATAACTTTCTTATATATTTTAAATAATCTTTAAAGTTTCAAATCACCTTACTTCAAAGTGAGCTAATATCTTAATAGCAGTGCTTCTTTATTATTATCTTAAGAACTGCCTAAAGGCTATGATGACGTTCATAACCTTCGATTTTCCTTTTTCTAACCTAGCTAATTATACGAAGTAACTTTAAACTACTATAAATGTTCTACCAAATATATATAAACTTGAAGGTAGGTACTTCTATCCAAAACCACATACTGATTTTTCAAATAAATTATTTACTATTTTACGTAATATGTACTAATACCAACAGTTTGACATTTAATGTTGTAGGATATTGAATATCACATGAATTGCAATCCCAGATTAATATGGTTGCTGGCGATATATAAAATTTCATAGATCAAAGACTTAATTAAACCTACGAAATTACAATTTAAATTGGCTATTTTATTGATACATCAATGACCTACATGACATATGAATATAAGAAATTAAATGAGAAATCAAATTCAATACACACAATACCAAAATACATTCAAACTTACAGACATACTTATCGATTATTTTTTCTATTTAAATAAAAATTTTCCTTTCTGTGTTACCAATAACAGGTGATTGAAATGAAAGGATTATTTAGAATATGATTTCACTAAATTACATTGGCATATAAAAATAGTAAAAGTATCTTGGCCTTTATTTAAAATTGCTCTGATTAGAGTATTGTTGTAGCGTATGCCATTCGGCCTGAAAACTATTAAAAGATTGGAGTGACGTATGCGTACCAATTCTGATTTAGTTTTGCGCTACAATAAATTTGGTAATTAGGTAAGAACTGACAAAGAAACTAAATATATAATTACTTTACTATATAATGTATATAATTGGTGAATAACTACACTCACTAAAAATTTTGTTCAATTAATCTACAATTACCCTCATTTACACCTAATTTTATTTGCTAGGTATTGCATATAGCCGAAATTTGACCGATTTGCTTTCAAATAAAGTAGCTTACCTACATTCTACGCTTATTATGCGAATGAAATTAATCTAACTTTTGACACTTTAAAACAATCATAAACATGCAATTATTACAATCGGAACAATTCGTACGTACTCTGATGTGTTTGTATCAACCCTGACAGACAGTCTTCATTCTTTTTCTGGTTGATACACTACCTTTTTAACTTGCTTTAACAGCAACATACAAATGATACGTTTCAATCACCTCTATTTATAATAAACACCAAAAAAGTTTACTTATCGGAATATAATTTTTTTTATAGGAAAATTCAGAATTGACTTGAAATGTTTATATTCCTTTAAAATAGAATGACTTTTATTTTATCTCGATTACCGTTTATAAGATTATTTCAGTTATAGTTAGATTACGATTTAGCAGATAATTGAAACAACAACAAACAATTAACAATATTGATCAATATTTGTCACTATTTTTCTTGCAATTCAATTAAAAGTTTTGTCCAAAACAAGTCATTGCCTCAAGTACACTTGTATTTTGGAATCTATTATTTGGTTTGTTAAACTCTGTTTGTTCTAAACTTGCGATTGTATGGCGTGGAATACCTAATTAGTGTTCTTTTTCTACTTTTACGCTTTATTGATCAATTACTAAAGGTGAACGGCATTCTTTAGTAATGATTCGAGTAAATTATTTGCCACTTTTTCGCTACATTATGTATTTAAACAAATTTTGAAACTGTAAATGGTTTGATATAAAATCCAAAAAAATTCACTCAATTTATCAAAATTATTAATAAGATCCCAAAAAATTGTATGTATAAAATACTATGGTGACACTTACACTTCAAGGATTTGCAACAACAAATAAAAGTGAGTTAGTTTTTATACCACGTCTATAATAAATATAAATATAACAAAAAAGGTAAATTCCTAATATATAGATATGTAAGCAGCAGCACGTAAAAACTGAATAATTTGATCAAATTAATCCTGAATATCGTTGTGAATTTTTATATGCACAGTGCATACGTATGTGACAACTTGTTATTTTTGTTACAGATATAAACCGAGTTGCCGAAAGATTCTGATTGTGAGATCGCATTAGTGCCCCAAATGGGAAGTAATTAGAGAACGGTAATAAAAAGAAGTCCACGTGAGACTGCACAATGAAACAGGTTGCTGTTATTCCACCGCCTCTTCCCCCGAAAACACGTCGTGCCCCCCCTGGCACGTCCACAACGGTACTCAAGAGCCCTGACTCTAATCTGGACTACGGTATCCAGACTCCGCATTCTCAGTTCTCAATCTCGCCAGCAACTTCCGATAGTCATGTAGTTAAAATCCTAATTAACCCCCAGGACGGCCAAGTTCGCAATAAAAGTGAATCCAAGACTGTTATCAGTGAATCGGGTCCTTGTGTTCGTCTTAGTGTTAACGGCAACGATTCATCAGACATGATCCAAAAAACGGAAAACTATTCGAAAAATGATCAGTCAAAACCGTTCTTTTTATATGGCCCTTACAGTTACAATGGCACTATGACTAGTGGACAGGTATCACCCAGTGATACATTAGACTCAGGCACGTGCAGTGATTTGGATGGCACACCACCCCCATTACCAAGAAAAAAGAATTCTGGCGTTTCAATAACAGTAATCAATAATCAACATAAGAGAGTGTCGAGCATAGCCAGTAGCGGGGTTGATGCTGATAGCGATGATAACGATAGCAATGTCAGCTATGACTCCTTAAACAGTGGCGATGTGCAATCTGAATTCACCAGAAAGAGTCCCGAACCCAAAACCGAAGAAAAAAGCATCTTTCCACAAAATCTGCTTCAGGATATTAGAGATCGAACAGTAAAACTGACCCAGGTAGACATTGAGCATTCCTCTGATGAACAAGAGGAACTAACTGAAACGAGATCAGTTATTGTACCACCAGTAATCACCCATGAAAAATTAAAAGGCGGCAATTTTGAAAACGTGTCGCGTGGGCACATCGTTGACGAAAGTACCTATGAGGAAAGGAAACAAAAGGAAATACATCAGGAAATGGTTAGGGTATTCAATGATTTGGCATTTGATTCTGACAAACTAATTAAGTTTCATCTCAACGAACATCATAGTGACGATGATACGAAATCAGTGCAAAAGTCGAGTGCTCGCGATGACGAAAGTTTCGCCGGTTATAGAGATTATCTAGGGGTTGATGGTGCTGCCACCATTCGAAGTGCAAAAGGGACTATTCGTGGAGTCAAAAATCGCGTAAGAGCAGGCATAGCAACCTTTCTACAAATTGGCAATACGACAAGGGTAAGTTTTTCTTTCCTTGAGAAATAAGCGTAAGAATTTTGTTTTGTTTCTCTATGTATATCGAATGCTCTCTTATTATACAAGCTCGCTTTGGCTCAATTTGTAACTTTACTTAAAAAGCACTTCTGCTGTGAAGTTTGTCAATATTTTGAAAATATTATCCAGAAAATAGTAATAATAATTCTGTATCGGTGGAACCAAGATGATGGAACACTGGTGCCCGCTTATTTGGGAAAATATTTGTATAGATACATGAAGTTCGTTCTCCTTGTGTAGTTTCCATGTACCTACGTACGTCTATATATAGTTTTGAACTGAACGATTTTGTTTTAAATTTCAAAATAACGTCAGCATTGTAGTTACAAAATCATGAATGAAATTAATAGTTTGTTGGTGTTCTATGTATTATTCAAATTGATATTTTTATAGAAAAATTAGAAAATCGAACTAACCCTCGATTCGTTACAATGTTCGCCGATAATTTATATGATATTAGATGAGAAAGAAAATCTTAATGGTAAAAAAAATTATGTATGCCATATGTACAATGCGATTTAATTTTAAAAAACGCTCATTACGAACCCATTATTTATAATCCAAAGGCTTTAACAATACGCTTATCTTAATTGCAGTGTTTTCCAAACAGTTACAGTGAGAAAATTTTAATGGATTGCGTTTATGAATCATTAGAAAACCTAAATAGTTTATCCATACGTATATACATATATTTACTCATTTATTGCTTTGTGTTTTTTTGTATGGATAAATTAGTTGGTGCTTCTTGAAAATATTCGTTTCTCTTAGAATATCAAATATGTTTATAGCAATACAATTATATACTTTCTTCCTAGCTATAATTATAAAATAATTAACATACTTATTAATATACAAGACTTCATCGGAGTATGTTTAGATCACAACACAATTAGCATCTAAAATTAGTGTATTGCTCAGAAAGATTATTTTGCAATATTTTCACGTGATAATAATACGTGAGGAACGATAAGGGCCATTAAAAGTTCTAAATGGCTGTATTAGATTACAGAGTATTAGTCGTTTTTGCGGTAAGTAGATTTATTTCCAGTTATAACTGCTTCAGCTAATTACGCATTCCATGCTAAAAGAAGTACATAATTACAAGTAGGCGGCCGCAAAACGGTTTTGATGTAGTAAGTCCAATAGCCTCCACAGAGGCTCCTGGAAACTCCTTCAAAAAGGCCACTCTAAGTGCAGCCTCATTATTAACTCAACAGCGACTGAACACAAAAATGACACACTTTGCTACCTGAATACAAATTTCCATGCACTTCTTCTCAGTTAATTTTATTTTAAGTACGTATTATCAGAGCTCGGCAGAGCTTTACAGTGCTTTGTGCTTGCCAATGTGCTTCTAGACTTTTCAGGCTTTAGAAGCACTGGAAATGAAGCCCTTATATGTACAAGTAATTAAGACTTGGTAAATGAATTACTTTATAAAAGTGGAATAAAATAATTCGAAGTGGTCTGTGTCTGTATTCTGTCGAAACTGCCAGACGCGGATCGCGATTTCGATCTTTTTAGATCTCATCAGCGCGTCGCGGTCAGCTCCGACAGAACACAGACCAACTTTTACCTGCTGTCTTAACAGTGCGTTTCAGGAAATACTACAAACGGCGCAGTAAACGCCATCTGTAGCACGATGCTACATTTTAGGATTACGTATGCTCCAACAAGGTCCACTTGTGTGGATATCTACTTGCTGAAAACGAATCCCGGCGTAGCCAACCTCAACGTGATAGGCACGTTAGCTTAATCAAATAAAATAATTCGAAGTGGTCTGTATTCTGTCGAAACTGCCAGACGCGGATC